CATATACATACACTCCAACGCATGTACATTAGAGTGGTTAAAAAAAAATTTTTTTTTTTAATTCATTAACGCTACTTCAAATTATTGAGATTTGGGATAAAAAAAAAGAGGAACGTTTAAAAAAAAACGTTTTTTAGAGGTCGCGCTGGTCGGTTTTTATAAAAACGCTGATGTTCCCAATTTTTTTACTTTCCTGGCTTGCAGCTAAAAATATTGTTTTAACATATAATCACTATGGTATTATTGGGGAACATTCTCTTAAATACATACATACCTGTCTTGGACAGTTAGAATGAGGCAAGTGTCCGAAAATATTCTTTCGAAAGGACACTAATAAAATTAGTACGTTGTTACTGAACGATTTACGCATTTTCATGGTTTGGAACTTGTTATCAGAGGGTTTTTGGGGTTTCTAATTAGAAATCTGAAGTGAGTTATTCAAAATTCAAAATGGCGAATCCAAAATGGCGATACATTTTTTTATGTTAGGATTTGATCGAAGCTTGGCACTCGGGATTTTTTGGGATCGCTGATGACGAATCTCAAATCAATTTTTAAAATTCAAAATGGCAGATCCAATATGTCTATCAAATTCTTATAAAAAAGCTACTCGAATTGAAACGTTGATACTGAACGTTTTAAGCATTGTCATGGGTCGAAACTCATTACCATTGGTTTTCTAATTACGAATGTGAGTTTCAAACCAATGCAATCATTTTTTTAAGTTGACCAGTTTTGAAAAACTGACATCATATGCATAATCAGAGATCCCATAAACCCCCTGGTAAAGAGTTTTAACCCATGACAATGCTTAAAACGTTTCGTATTAACGTTGTAGATTTAGTAGTCTCTTTTCGAAACATATTTTCGGGCACTAGCCTCATTTTAACTATCCAAAACAGATATGTAATTTCTCTTTTTTTTACCACAAATAACAATATTTTGATGTTGCGTTTATGAATTTTTAAAAAGAGCGATTTTTTGAACCACTCCAATGTACATATAGATATGTTCATATCGACATTAAACATACGAGTATGTATATTCATGTGAATTTGTCGAGCGCCGAATGCATTTGACAGTCAAATAAAAATCACTTTTGTGCTTCAACTAACTGCATAAGGACTTGTCTGACGCAGTTGGCTTCGAAGGAATTATCACTATTTTCTGCTATATCGCGTTTGAGAATGCACAAAAAAATACGAAAAAATTTATAGAAATGCTTAAATACATATGTATGTATATAGTATGTGCCCTACAAACATCTTCCGACATTCGCCCGACTAAGCTGATGAAGTGCAACCTAAGCTCTGGCTCAGACATCACACGCAAAATCACACATCTCACTTCAATAAAGAACTTTCGCACTTTTGACGTAAATTCATTATCGCCTACGCGTTCATTCATGCCCAGCCATGCCCTCTCCCTACTAGGCAGAGTATATAAATACCTTTTACTAGATACGTTTGAATGTACATATATACACACGAATGTACGTATGTAAGTATACATAGACAGTACATGTACCAACCTTCATCCACGACTCCGGTATGCGTGCATCATACAT